TAGAAACGCGAAGATGCCACCGTGACGACGCGGGGACACCGCTGTGAGGTTACCGTAGAAACGCGAGGATGCCACCGTGACGACGCCGGGATGCCGCTGTGAGGTTACCGTAGAAACGCGAGGATGCCACCGTGACGACGCCGGGACGCCGCTGTGAGGTTACCGTAGAAACGCGAGGATGCCACCGTGACGACGCCGTGGTGAGGTTACCGTAGAAACGCAATGCCACAAAAAATTGCAACAAAATTTAAAAAAAGTACACCATAGAAATATCGAGACGTAGTCAATTTAATCGTGATTTCAGGACTACCACGATGACTGCACAGGCAGGCGGCAAAGGCAGCCACTTATGCTGTACACGCAGCACAACTGTGACAGTGGCACAGTGATGCGGGTCACAGCTACACCAGCAGCATCAGCTGGCAAGAATGAATCATGCGCATCTCACGCGAGTCACTGCTAAGCATACATCCGTTCGCCACGTAATGCCGTGTTACACGTCAGACAATTTTACTGACAAACTGCTATCTCATTAGATCCTGCCCATGAGATCCTGCCCCAAGTAGAACAGCTAAGCCTTTGTTGCATGCACGGTCAAATTCACGACACACTACGCTGTGCATTCCACTAATTGCCACTACACCTACATGCAGTTATAAGATCCTTAATTAAGCATTAATGCTCATGGGCCCACAGAAGATCTCTAAACGCATTCATCCAGATACTAAAATAGCAAGCACGCTCTGATGCTATCAGGATTCTATCAATATTAATAGACTCCTGATACTATGGCAGCAGCATATATTGATTTCAAGCTTTTAATTAATTACAGCACACTCACGTTCTATAAACGCGTGATGCTGCTGACATGAGATGCAGCCTGCAGCTTCTCCGTTGATTCGCTCATACCTTTTTCGCACACGCAAAGAGGCAGGCTCATAATGGGATTAAATGATATCACGTAAACTGCAACCCTTCTCCATAGTTGAAACAGGTACCCCTCCTAGGCTTACACAACTGCAACTATCCCCTCCCCAAGACTACAACTATCCCCTCCCCCTGACTACAGCTATCCCCTCCTCCTGACTACAACTATCCCCTCCCCCTGATTACAGCTATCCCCTTCCCCTGACCACTTCCTGTACCTAAGCGAGTTAAAGGTTATACTTTAGGACTAGGGTTAGGGTTTAGGGTCTTTTGCATCATTCCGTTGATATACGGAAGTCTGCTGCATCAGTTGATGATACATCAAGAAATCTGTGCATCACTTCGTGCATACATAAAGGTGCCTAAAGTCGACTTTCTGGCGCCGAATGAAAATGTGCACCTAGATAACCTATAATACTAGGGATAAATACAGAAAATATTGACAAGCAAGAACTCACTATTACTATGTTTGACCCTTGTAAGTTGTAATATTTACTCCATTGACACTCACTCACCCTGTAATGCTGGGCATGGAATCTAATGTCATGACTAGTACTAGTACTACGATAAACATCAGGTTTAGCGTCGTAAATTAAACTAAGCAAAAACGCCATCGCCAGACTGCGCTCTCGCGGTCTATTCGGCGTTTCGGGCCGATCAGTGGAACATCGTCACAATCGATAGTTCTGGTACAGCGGCTAAGCAACAGGAGCAGTGTAATGGGTAGGGGGAGGGGGAGAGGCAGGGGGAGGGAGGAGGCAGGTTGAGAGTAGTACTAGTAGGTGGATTGAAGAAGTGGGGGAGCGAGGGGAGAAGCTGGCTTCACCACCTTCTCCCTTCTCCCCTTCCTCCTTTTCTACCAGCTTTTCCCCCTCCTCCTTCTCCACCACCTTCTTCCTTCTCCCCTTCCTCATTCTTCACTAGCTTCTCCCTACTCCACTTACTTAGTACTACTCTTGAAAACTTCCACCTCCCTCACCCTTCCTTATCCCCTCCCACTCCCTTACACGGCTCACTTCGGCTACCCTGCTACCCAGAAACTCGAGAGTAGCTGACGACTGCTTCCACTGATACGCCCGACAACGCCGATAGACCGGCGTAGCGCCCATCTGGTGGTGGCATTTGCAAGGTTAATCTTACGGACGCTAACTTGATGGTTTACCTCCACTACTACTAGTACTACTACTAGAGGAAAGAAGTGTAGTGTTCCTGAAACCCCACCCCTACTCCTTGCCAGTGCTACATCCAGCATTTGAAGCTAATGCCCAGGTTATTGCCAGCGCATTGCTGTGTGCAGTCATGGCTTATTGAGGTCGCGTGTATGTTAACCCTCCATAGCCAAAGCCCTACGTGAATGTTTTCTCTCAACATCAATTGAGATATGGTCCCATTATCGTTTTCTATGGTTCTAATGTTCATGGCTTTTACATTTCAGTCGGACAGTTAGTGAGACATGATTCCAAACTGTTGGCTTCAACTCGCCGAAAAATAACGAAAGGAACGTGACGATACGAAGAGTGAAGTAGCGGTGCACCAGCAATCTTGCGTGGTTGGCCGCATTTTTGTTAATCAATGTCGCTAGCTTGGGCTCCACCGTTCACAGAAACATGTGTTGTCCAAACCATACTTGAGAGGAAGTGTGGCTTACTTTGGACTTTACACTTTGTGAGGTAGCTGAGCAGTAAGCGTAACCTAAGCCCCCCATAATAACATAGACACAGCTCAAGGCATGGATGATTATTTTGGTCAGGCATATGCCCACCAGATATGATAATACTGTGCCAGAAACACAGTTGTTCCTGGAACAAGAGTTACACCGCTGAATCAAACACGAAACATTGATTCCCCTAATCTATATACTTACTCATATCGCTAACATTAAGTATATTGTCTAGGCGCTTGCTAATTTTAACTTGTCGAAATAATCGTATTATTGATGTGCTGTTGCAAAAGTGGAAAAATAAGCAGCTAAAATAGTTGATATTGTCTGGTAACGTTGAATTAATGTCCGTCATTTCTTTCATTCACTCTCTCACACTCTCCGATCGATCTTCGTTTCCTACTCTTGCTGTTGCTTCCCGTCCTCTCTCTTCTCTCTTTTCCTGCCTCATCTCTTGCTCTCTCGTCCGCTCTCCGTTTTCGCTCTCACCAGTTTTCTTGCCAG